AGCAGGATTCTGCTGCAGAGCAGGACCTTTTTTGAGCAAAGGCAGCCACACCTGCTCCAGAGGTGTCCTTGGGGGTTTCTGCCTGTTCCTTCCTGCCCCAGCATTGGTGCCACACTCAGGAGTCAGACTGTGGGCCACAAGCCCCATGCCATGCCCTGCAGGGCCTCCCTCTGCCCCTGTAAAGGAGGGGGCAGTGAGGGCAGAGGCCTACGCCCAAGAGGGGCCCATGGAGTCACTAGCAGGGTGTGCTTCTTGGCGTGGAGGCTGCCGCCAACTTAGCTGTCCTCAGTAACCAAGCGGAGAGACCGTTCTGGGGAAAGAAGCCAACCCAGCTACCCAGACCACTGACTGAACCCCCAGCATAGGCTCAGGCTGGGCCTGGAGATGCCGTCTCTCCTCTGAGCAGCGAGTTCAAAGCCAGGCTTAGCCAAACCCCTAAGCATTTCTCATCTTTTCTGGGGCACCATGAAATGTTCATCTAAAAAGGATTGTGTTCATGTCTGCTATGTGGGCATTGACTGGATTGGTAAAAGTGGGGGTTTTAGAGGGCTCATTGTCTAAAGACGTACGAGGGGCCCGGCCTGGACTGAAGCCTTGAGGAGGTGGTAGGGGGCCTGGAATGTGGGTGCAGTAGCTGAAGCCACCCTGCTGACCCCAACCTGGGCCTGCACTGGACCCTCAGGCCTCAGGAGCCAAACCATCTTTGCAGACACTTGGATTCTGTTACCTGACTATTTGGGGCAGCCCTGAGCTAGACTTGATTATGGCAAACTGAAATAGTTCCTTATTAGATGTGGCTGGCTCTCCCCTCCAAATGAGCCTTTTGGAGACCCTTGGGGTTTTGTGGTGAGCACAGCCCCCATCCTACCCTCCAGTTCTTCTGGCAGGAAAGGAAGAGCAGCCCAGGGAGCTTCTGTCCAGAGTGTGGGCCTGAGTGCCAGGGGCGGCTCAATGCCTCCCTCCAGGTGTGGGCCCCGCCCCTTCCCTGTCCCCAGCCCCTTCCCCTTGGAGGAAGGCACAACAGGAATGGCTGGGTGAGGACACTGTGGGACTGTGCCCAGGGAATGACAGTCCTGGGCCTCTCCCTACTCCCTGTGAGTGTCAGCCTGGCTGTGGGCCCCCGGGAGGCCCCAGTCTTTCCCTAGTCCAAAGGCCACTAACAGCCCAGCTGCTGGGAGTATGTGGAGGGGGGTTCTCTGCCAGGAGGTGCAGAACAAAGGAGGGCGGGTGGGAGAGAAGGAAGAGGCTGAGCTTAGTGCATATCCTGGCGCCTGAGTGCATCTCTGTCTGGGCAGGACTGGGCCACTGGGCCTGCCCTCAGCTTCCCCTGCCACGCAGCCTGCAGCCTGGACAAGGCTCTGCAGAACAGCCTGTCTTCTTTGGCCCCTCCTGCTCCTGAGAGGCAAGTTTCCTATAGGACTTGAGTGAAATAGCACCAGATTGCCAGGCTCCGGAGGCAAGTCCCTATCCAGCTACTTCTGGCAGAGTCTCCCCTCAGGGACATTTGCCTTTATCAGGGGTAGGTGCTATCAAACGTGCCAGTGGTGGAATTTCTGACCCAGAGTGGTGGGTGAGGGAGATGATTTGGGTCAAGGGCCCTTTGCAAGCCATTCAAATGGTCTCAGGTTGGCAATGCTCCATTGTAGCATTGGTCACTGGTGGGACCAAGTGGACTCAATAGGGCCCCAAATGTTGGGAGCAGGGAGACAGGGAGCTCCTGGGGCATACAGTGTGGCTAAAGCAAGAGGGACCAGCACTCAGAGCTGTTGATGAGTGCCTATCATGGGCACATCCAGGCACAGTGAGAAGGCTGGGCAGGCATGGTGTGGACAAGGGGACTGTGGGAGCAAGGGTTGGGCGGTGGGAACATGCCAGGCAGATGTAAGGACAAGTGAGTCACCCAGGGAAAATGTATACAAAGGCTGTGAACAATTAGGTAGCAAACGATGGAGAGCTCTGGCCCAGAGCTCCATGCCTTCCAAGCCTTTGCCAACTGTTAGGGGTTGAATTGTATCCCTACAAAAAGATATGTGGAAGCGCTAATACCTCTCATTTGAATGTGACCTTATTTGGACCTAGGGTATTTGCAGATTTAATTGTGTTAAAATGAGGCCATGGGGTGGCCCTAATCCAGTTCGACTGAATTCTTGTAAGAAGAGGGACACTTGGACACAGACACAGGTGCACGTGAAGAACGCTGCATGGAGACACAAGGACCACAGACAAAAAAGGAAGGTGGCCATGTGAAGATGGAGGCAGAGATTGGAGTTACGCTTCCACAAGCCAAGGAATGCCCAGTGTCACCAGAAGCTGGAAGAGGCAAGAAAGGAATCTCCCCTAGAGGCTTTGGAGGGAACATGGCCCTGCCAACTCCTTGATTTTGGACTTCCAGTCTCCAGCACTGTGAGAGAACACATTTCTGTTATTTTTAAGCCACCCAGTTTGTGGTACATACTGTGTTATGGCAGCCGCAGGAGTCTACCACACCAGGCTGGCTCTGCTGCCTGGAACACCCTTCTGCCTGGTTCCTTCCAGCGAGCCCTCTCACCACCTCCAGTCCCTTCACCTGCTCCAGGAGTCGGAGTTGAGTGCGATTTCTCTGTGTAACCTCATGCTGAGCCCTTGTTTCAGTAGATCTGTAAGGTTTGATGGCCAGCCTACATCCCTGACTAGACTGTAAGCTCCTCAAGGCGGGGCCTGACCTCCAGTAGGGCAGCACAGACCTGGTCCACCATGGGTGCTCAGTCAGTGTGAGGTAAATGGAGGAGTAGTCGAGAGTGCCAAGGCCCTCTCAGTCTAGGATGAGCCATCTCCTCCTCCACGGCCTGGCCTATCTGGGATGGGCACAGAGCCAACCAAAGAGAGGTAACAGCACCCTCCACACAGGCCACTCCCCACTCCTCCACTCTCTAGTCCCCTCCTCGCCTTATGTGAGTCTGAATGACTTGGGGAAATTCCTAACCTTCCCTTTCAATTGGGTCATTGGCCCTGTGCGTTTGCCACAACATAATTGCTCAGGTCTCTCCAACAAGGGGACTGTGTCTGTGGCTTGATGACTCATGCACGCTGCTCCATCCCACAGCCTTGGGTGGGAACCAGGGCTGGGGATAGTGCCAGCCAGGCCAGGCTAGGAGCTTGGACATCCCATTGCCCCAACCCAGGCCCCAGAACAGAGTGTACTTAAGGCTTCAGGACAAAAATCTGGAAGCAGGGAGGCAACTCTCACTTGAAGTGAGATCTGAGTGATAAAAAGGAACAGACTGAGGAAACAGTGAGTTCAAAGGCCCTGAGGTAGGAATGAGCTTGGTATGATCAAGAACTGAAGAGAAGGCAGGGAGACTGGACCACTGTGAAAAAGGGGTCCGTGGGGCCCTAGCCAGTTTTTCTCAGTGGACAGAACGTCCTGGGTTCAATTCCAGTCAAGGGCACGTACCTGGGTCGCAGGCTGGCCCTGGTCAGGGTGTGTGCAAGGGGCAACCAATGGGTGTGTCTCTCTTACATCGAATTTCTCTCTGTGTGTCTCTCTCCCTTCCTTTCACTCTAAAAATCAAGGGAAAAATAACCTCAGGTGGGAATTAACAAAAAACAAAAAAAGAGGTCAGTGGTAGGACCTGAGATTAGATTGAGTCCACCTGGATAACTGGGATAATCTCTCTATCTCAACATCCTTAAATTGATCCTCTCTGCAAAGCCTCTGTTGCTGTATGTAAGCATAACATATTCCAGGTTCTGGGGAGCACAGATATGCTGGGGGGGACATTATTCTGTCTACCTCAGTGTCTCTCTCATCCTTACCTTTCTCTCCCATGCTACTGCTACATTTCTGTTTTCCTATCTACCTATATGATCTATTGACCTGTCATCTGGCCACAATTTATCTCTCTTCCTACCTCTTCATCAAGTCTCAACAAGTTATCAATCTACCATTCTTCAATAGCTTTAATCTTTCATTTTGAAAATTAAATCTCCCTTCAGCCCTGCAGCTAATAAACTGACTTTTAAATTCAATCTCAATCCTGGCCGGTATTGTTCACTTGTTAGAGCATTGTCCTGTGCACGGAAGGGTTTTGGGTTCCAATCCCAGTCAGGGCACATACCCAGGTTGTGTATTTAATCCCAAATTGGGGCACATGCATGAGGCCAACTGGTCGATGTTTCTCTCTCTCTTCTTCTCTTTTCCTCTTCCTCCAGAACAAATGAAAAGCATATCCTCAGGTGAGGATTTAAAAAAAGATACTTCAGTCTCTCATTACAAATTATCAATCATCAAGCTTCATATTTTCACATGTGTCACATTAGTGAACATTCTTTTTTAATGTCTCCAAATAAATTAAGGAAATACTTTACTTAATTTATTTGTACTTGCCATGTGCCCAATTCTATGTTATGTGGGTGAGATAAAAGGCTGATGACACCCCAACTAGCCATATTGGGTCCTTTTTCATCATCATCATCATCATCATCATCACCATCAATGCCATCTCTGCCAATCTATGCATACTTCCATATAGGGACCATTTTTATATGAACTTTCCAGCCAAATCTGGGCTGTTCTAGTCTGCCTTTTGCTTACTAGTCATCCTGCGTGTGCATAAATAATGTAGGCTCATTTTAACTCAATCTTAGATAAAGTGTGGGTACAAAAGTATATTTGCTAGGCAAGCCTCTTCTACATCAAGTAACAAATCCTAAAGTTAAATGGAATTATTTTTAGGTTGACTGGACAGGTAGCACAGAAGATGGGCCTCCAGAGATGTGATATCCAGCATGTGTGGATACATGTAGACACACCACACACACACACACACACACACACACACACACGTAGGTACACACAAAATGCACAAGTGCACATACAAGCATATTTGTGCCCTCTCTTTTCCCTCTTCCCCCACATAGTGTCTCCTTCCCGGCTCCCTCATTTCCTCCCCCAATCCCATCCCCAAGGCCAAAGCAGACACTTCAGCACTGACTCATGGTCTCCCTCATCTTTTTTCCAGCCTAGGAATCTCACCTCCTCACCTTGGCTGTGAGGTCTTCTGAGGCAAGAATGCCTGTTCTTTCTTGGGCTTGTCCTCCAAGCCTGGCCAGCCAGAGGACTGGACACCTAAGAGCTGCTGGCCTTTCCTTGAACTCTGCGGGCTGCTGGGGAACAGAGAGGTAAGAGGTTAGATGCCCAATAATAGAGGTTCTCCAGAGAAGCTCCCTCTGCCCCCCAGGGAATCTGCCTATCCTGACCCAGCTGGATGCCAGAGTAATGAGGGTTTTCTCCTTTAGTAGAAGTCTCTTAAAGGTACTGTGCTAGGTGGGTAATCTGCCTGGAGCTGGCTTAGTGGGGATCAGCTCAACAAGAATTTCCTTGTTTCCAAGCATCTCCATTGCACAAGCATCCAGCGCCAGTTCCTGTCCAAGCCTCTCCCTGGGGCCTGGCTGGAGACCCAGCACATTTGGAAGCAGTTTGCCATCAGCCAGAGCTGCAGGTCTTGGATGTCCAGCAGTTACATGCCCAAGGCCAGCCCAGGCTCACAAGTCACTTTGTCCACAGCCGTAAGGGAGGAACAGCTTGCACCCCAGTGTCTGCAGGAGGCTCCCAAGCAACCACCTTGCACCCTGGAGCCCTTCCCAGCAGTGGGAGGCTGGACAAGGCCAGGACCCCATTAAGGAAGCCCTGACTGGGGTGAGGAATCTTGGGGCCAGCTGGCCTTGCTGCTTCTGGTTCCACACTGAGCCTGGATCCTATCCACTTACTATCCAAAGCCAATGTATGCCCCTCTCCTGTCCTGTGATATCCCAGGGCAGAGGCCTCATACTAGTACAACACATCTCTGTAGCCTGACTAGCTCAGAGCAACCATAGGAATTGTATGCAGAACAGATCTGCACCTGTGCACAGCTCACACCAACATCCCTAGGCCCAGAGCCCAAGCCCAGGCCTATCTCCTCCAGCTCAGAACCCTCACTTAGTGCTAAGTTTCATTAACTGTTTAGAGCCCATCAGGTCATAAGTTATCCCTTTAGTTGCTCCCTAAAGGAGCCAGGCTGGGCCAGATATCCTCAAGCGGAATGTGTTGGGGAGAAATGGTACTCCCCTGTCAGAGGAGGGAGCCCCCACAGGAGGCCATACTGGGAAACTCCTCTCCTCCCACATGGTTCCCAATCCCTGCATGGCCCAATACTAAGTCCCAGCAGACAAAAGTGGGGCTTTTCCATGCCATGCTGGATCTCAGCCTCCATGAGAAGGCTCTGGAAGGACTAAGAATCTTGAGCTGGGCCAGCCAGATAAGCCCAGAGGGACCAAACGTCTCCAGGCCATTCAGTCAGCATTGGGCTGAACCAGATGGCAGCCTTCTTGCCCCTGCCCTCCAGGATGGCACTCCAGCCCATCTTTGGGCTCAGGGAGCATATCCCTCCCTCACCCCAACAATGCTTCTGTTCCAGGAGAAGTCTGAGCACCCGTGGGGCAACCAGCACTGCCCAACTGCAAAGGGCTTCTGGGGGCCCCTCCAACAGCTACCGTGAGCTCTTCCCCTCCATCTCTACAGCCCCACTCCAGCCCCTCACCCCTTCCCAACCCCACTCCTCCACCTCCAACGCAGGCAACCAGGCATCAATCTGATGGCTATATTTCCAAACACTTTGCTTTTTCTATGAAATTATATATCTCTGTGTGTCCATGTTGAGATAAAAATGTAGGCTTTTGTAGATATTTTTTAAACGTGGATGGGATTATATTGTGCATATTAGCTTGAAACTTGCTTTATCATCAGGTGTACAATAAAGCGATTCAATATTCGTGTATTCTGAAATGTGCTTTTTCACTTCACACTTTTATTAGGGCTCTTTATACATCAGACACACAAAGCAACACAATTCTTTTTTGTCTTCTTTTTTGCATGGGTTTATTTAGCCCGTTTTCTAGTGATGGACATTCAAGCTGTTTCCACTGTTACAGTGATCTACTGATGTTCTCAAACCTTCTTGTGCCATATCAGAGGGTCCCTCCACGCAGATTCCTGAAAGTAGACTGCACGCTCTCATCTTCCCCTTCAACTTGGGGAACTTCAGGGCTCACTTTCACCCACAGGCAGCGTACTAGTATACATTCCTGTACAAAGGGCAGTTCCCTCTTCAGGAAACACCGAGCACCAGCTCTTAGCCCTGTGTTCCATACCCCACTGCCCTGTTGCGGACCTCGCAGACATCACCATCTCCCTGGGTCATCCCCACCCTCCATCTCTCCTGAACTGTGTCTATGGCAGTGGTCGGCAAACTGCTCTGTTGACCAATGAGTTTGCTGACCACTGGTCTGTGGTATATGCAGGTCCATCAATGTTCTTCTCAAGAAACTCCCTAACTATTCCACCCACGAGCTCCCAAGATGGCTTGCTTTACCTTGACTATCCTGCATATGCTTAAGGAATTATCTTCCTAAATGGGCCTAAGTCCCTGAAGACAAATCTTCCCCTAAGATAGAGCTTGTTTGTGTAGGTGCTTGTTAAATGTGTCCTATCCTATGTAATAAAAGCCTAATATGCAAATTGTCCCCTTGGGCAGTTGTTCCACCAGTTCAACTGGGAGACCGGGAGTTTGACCACTTGCTATGATGTGTGCTGACCACCAGGGGTGGCATGGAACATGGCAGGTGTCAGCGATGTGGCACTGGCAGCGGGGTGGCCGTGGAGGCAATGCCAGCCCTGATAGGCCCTGATGAGAGCCAGACCACGGTGAGATGGTGTAGCAGATGAGTGGGCGGGCAGCATCAGGCCAAGGTGGGTGCAAGTAAGCCCAATCAGATCGCCCTGCAGACACAACCAGTGGTGGTGGCAGGGGGCAGGACCGCCACCCAGGATGGTGGAGCTGGTGATGGGTGGTGCCAGGCCAATGCAGGGTGCCAGGCAAGGCTGCGAGGCATGACTTGGTGCACTGGACCTCTGGTTTGTAATAAAACCAAGTTACTCTCAGTAAATGCACGGGAGCAGTCTCTGTAAGGTTGCTAGTCTGGGGGGTGGGGTGAGGGGGAGGATTTGCTTTGATTCATCAGAAACCCTGGGAAAGGATGAAAGATTTTTGCTTGAACTGTTTGTTCAATTTGACTTGGAGCCAGTGCCTTTGGTTCTTGGATTAGTCTGGGCCCCTCAGCGCTGAGTGGGGTGTCTCACACTTAGACTTTGGTCAAGCTGGCCTCTGACTTGGCTGGAGTTACTGTCTGCGGCCCGTTTCCGGGGAGGCATTTGGAAGCCCCAGGGAGCTGTATTGCCTTCTGCCATCTGTGGCCACTGGGCTGGGGCTGAGAGTCTGAGGAGAGACAGGTGGCCTGGCTGGCACGTCATCCAGACGTCTCCTGGTGCTGGTCCGTACCGTCTTAAACCAGTTGGCAACGACTGCAGAGGGGTGCCTCTCCCGGGCATGCATTTATAGTGCACCACAGAAAGAGCCAAGGCTGGGTCTTGCCAGGGCAGTGTCTTCGGTCACAGATACTGCCTGGGCAGCTTTTCTCTATCCCAAACCCCTGCTGCAGCCCCTGCCTGGAGCCTAGGAGGCAGAAGCTGCTGGATTAGTACTCTCCTGAATGCCAAAGTATGTTCTTTGCACAAAGGTTGGCATAGATAGGCAGCCAGCAAAAATTTACCAAGTGACCAACAGAATGAATATCTCCCTCCCTCAGAGGAGGCTGCCTAATGCCATTGACCATATGTGAGAGGGTAAGGACTGGATTCCAGAAACAGGAGACAGAAGAAAGTGTGAGCAAATCACACCTGCATCTGTGCAGTCTTCCTAGACTTCATGTTTTCCCTTCAGGATTCCCCAGATGACTACAGCGCTCTGATGTCGAGGGCAAGTGATCCAGTTTTCCTAACACTCTAAAACTGTGATATTTCAGGTGTGATTTGTGACCAGCAGCAGCAACAGCAGCAGCACCTGGGAGCTTATTAGAGATGCAGATTCTCATGTCCGACGCCAGACCTAATGAGTCGGAATCTGCACTTGAATAAGGTCCCAGGTAACTGTGTGCATGTTAACATTGAACAAGTACAACCTCGAGCAGCTAGTGATCAAACATAGCACTTTTCACGTGGCTGCTAGAACATGTGGCAGACTACATTTGGGGCTTCTACTTAACTGACAACTCAGACAAATTATTGAGTCACTTATTTTCTGTCTCCCCAGCCCTTGAATACTGTCAGGAACAAGCATGTCAAACTCAAAGGCTAACACGGGCCAAAGAAACAAGGTTTAAGTTTATGTTGGCCCCAAAAAGAACAAAAACTTCAATTTTCATAGAAACGTAGGTTCATTTCAATAGAGACATGCTGAGTACAAAGGGCTGAAATAAATGTGTAATCGTTAACATAATAGAACATTTTAATAAAAATTAATATTTTATCTTGAACATTAACTTAACAGACATTGAATAACTGCACAAATTAATAAATGTAACACAAATAACCTATTTTTCTTGTTCTCCAAAAGGGAAATATTTCCTGTTGCGCACACCAAACAAGTCAGTATAAGACTAATGACGTGGCAATCGGCTGCTAAAATATTCGCTGCTAGTATTAATGGAGAGAAATGGTGCACCTGCACACGTAAGGTGTGTAAGGGAAATGAATGCAACATAATTATAGTAATCAGTCATTATCAAACATTATAGTTATTGATAATGATGATGTATAACATTAAGTTATGAAATTTTAATTAAAATGTTTCTTACATACCGTTTTATTGGCTGGGCCACAAAAATATTCATTGTGGGCCACATGAGGCCCCTGGGCTGCGAGTTTGACATGCCTGGTCTAGAACATAGTAGGTACTCAGTAAATATTCCATGAATAAATATTGAACAATTCTGGTGCTCTTTTCTCAATGTAATGTGTTCAGGGTATGCTGGACTTCTGTTTCTGGACATCAATTGCAAGTTATTAGAAAGAATTTCTGCTCCCAGTGGAAGAACGGCTATTGTTAAATGAGCAATTATTGAGGGCCAGGCTGATGCCCTATCATGTGGATAAGTTCCTGGTCTTTTACAAAGTGTGGTTCAGGCCAAGGGCATCAAGCATGACCAGGTGCCTGTTTAAAAATCCCTGAGCCCTGCTCCACACCTGCCCATTGAGAACTTTTGGAGATGAGGCCCAGAGGTCCCCATTTTTAACAAACATCCCAGGCACACTAAAGTTTGGAAATTATACAGAGGAAACTAAGAAGCAGAGAGATTAACTGACTTGTGCAAAATCACAGAGCAGGTGAATGGTGGAGATAGGACTCAAAGCCAACACTGCCCAAATCCAGAATCCACAGCTTTAACCACATTGTCTATTTTGCTGGAAAAATTGATGCCCAGGCTGACTATATTTAGCCGTGTATATCATTTTGTGTGTATCTCATGTTTCCCCACCATTTGCTATATCATTCTTGTGGAATCTTAAAAGGCAGTGAATGTGTTTTATTTTTCTCAGTGTCTGTAGCATCCATTACCATGCCTAGAACCTGGGAGATGCTCAACAAAAGTTGTTTGAATTGGCTGAAACCAGTTTTGCTCAGTGGATAGAGCATCGGCCTGCAGACTGAAAGGTTCCAGGTTCGATTCCGGTTAAGGGCATGTACCTTAGTTGAGGGCACATCCCTGGTGGGGAGTGTGCAGGAGGCAGCTGATCGATGTTTCTAACTCTCTATCTCTCTAACTCTTCCTTCCTCTCTGTAAAAAATCAATAAAATATGTTTAAAAAATAATTTTAAAAAGTTGTTTAAATTGAATTTCTACAGATACCTAATTATTCATCTCTTTAACATAGATACACAGAGGACATCTCATTTTCAGGTGGACTCTTGGAACAAGCTATAACAACTATAAACTTTCCTACCTTCTCTTGAACCCACTCCAAACTTTTGCTCATGTCACTCCATTGACATAGCTATTGTCAAGATCACCAATAACTTCAACCTGGATGAACCTAATGATTAATAATTGTCGGCTCTTATCTCAGCTGACCCTTTGGCAGTTTTGGACATAGAACCTTTCCTTCCTCTTGAAACTCTCTTCATTTGGCTTCCAACCTCCCTTGATTCTTCCCCTCCTACTCCTCCTCCTCCTCCTCCTCCTCCTCCTCCTCCTCCTCCTCCTCCTCCTCCTCCTCCTCTTCTTCCTTCTCCTCCTCCTTCTACGCCACCCCTCCCCCAACCAAATTTTGTTATTGTGGTTAAATAGATATAACATAAATTGTATTACTGTAACTATTTTAAGTGTGCATTAAGAGATATTAAATATATTCACATTATTGTGCAACCATGACCACCATTCATCTTCAGAATTCTTGCATCTTGCAAAACTGAAACTGGACTCATTAAACAGTAATTCCCCATTTCTCCCTTTCTCCAGCCCCTGGCAACCACATTCTACTTTCTGTCTCTATGAATGTCACCACTCTAGATATCTCATACAAGGGGAATCACACAGAATTTAAGTTTTTGGACTGGCTTTTTCACTTAGCGTAAGAACCAAGGTTCATTAATGCTGATGCACACTGCAGAATTTCCTTCCTTTTTAAAGATGAATACACCACATTTTGCTCATCCATTCATCCATCAAATAGACACCTGGGTTGCTTCTACATTTTAGCTATTGTGAATAATGCTGTGAGTACGAGTATACAGATATCTCTTCAAGACTCTGCTTTCAATTTTGGGAGGACTATATCCAGAAATGGAATTGCTGGAACATAGGTAATTCTATTTTTTAATTTTTTGAGGAATGGTTATACCAGTGGTCAGCAAACTTCGTTAGTCAACAGAGCTAAATATCAGTACAATGATTTAAATTTCTTTTGAGAGCCAAAAGAAACTTAAACTTCTTCTTTTTTAAACTTAAACTTCTTCTAACGCCACTTCTTCAAAATAGTCTTTCCCAGGCCGTGGTATTTTATGGAAGAGCCACATTCAAGGGGCCGGAGAACCGCATGTGGCTCTTGAGCCACGGTTTGCTGACCACTGGGCTATTCTATTTCACATTCCCACCAGTAAATCACAAGGGTTCTAATTTCTCCAAATTCTCATAAACTCTTGTTTTCTGTGTTTCTGTTTTGTTTTATTCATTTGTTTTTATCTTAGCCATCCTGAGTATGAGGTGGTATCACACTGTAGTTTTGATTTGCATTTTCCTAGTGATTAGTAATGTGGAACATCTTTTTGTATGCTTATTGGCCATTTGTATCTCTTCTTTGGAGAAATGTCTGGATACTTCTTTTTTTAACATCTTGCTGATTTCTTCTAACCTTGCAGTGACCAAGGGTACAATCTGTGGACCACTTCTTTTTCT